GAATTGTCCTCACGGCAGACCTACGATGAGGCACCTTGCAGACTTGAAGCACGTCAGAGTCGCTTCAAGTGGGGTGGAGGGGCACAAACGATTTGCGAGGAGACCCGTAGACTGGTCTCGCCTAGGAAAGATCTAAGTGAATGGTGCAAAACGAAGGCCGTTTGCCCTATCTATTGCATGCACATTTTCACCATCTTGTGTCGGATGATACGACCAGCCGTGCTGCATTGAGCAGTGGAGCAGACATGACATGCACAGGTAACGCGACAGGCGAGCGCAGCGAGGCGTGAATGAGGGCAACGCGCGCCATGCATCCTTGACCGTGGTGCACTAATGGTGATGCTGATATGTGGACGCACTTCACCTTCTGCAAGGCAATGTCGGCTGTACGCTCAATGCGACAAACCCCAAGTCCAGTGTTGGGCAAGGCCAAGCCCAAGCGCCTGCTTCACTGGGCGAAATGTCTTCAAGACTGCTCCATTGCGTTGATGCAGCACAATTGACGTCGCGTCGAGGCATGCTATCATGATGATTCGATCTTTCAGCTCCTACTCATGGCGGCCTGTAACAGCGATCTGAGGTATGCGTAGCGCCTCTTTGCACGCAAGAAGCACAGCTCAAGAGTCCGCTCATCGTCCAGCGCTATGTGACCTTCGGGCAGTGCTTTGCCACTTGCTAGCAGGCTCTGCAGATCCTTCAACTCCGAGCTGCTGCTGTTTGAATCTTGCTTGAGGCTCTGCACCTCTGACTTGGGTGTTTTGTGTACACAAGCACATCTACCCGCCTGGTAAAGGTGGCTCAAAGTGGGTGCTGCAGTTCGTTCGTCGATCGTCGTACTCAAGCAGATGGCCATGTGCGACGAGGCGAGAGCAGATTCGAAGGCCGAGCAATCGGAGAGCAGGTGGGTTTCGTAGATGCCGAAAGAGCTGACCAAAGGTACATTGCGGATGTGCAAGCGTTGCCGGTCTGCTGCATCTGATGAGCAGACTACTGTCATTTCCTCAGGATCCCACCTGGCCGCTGGTATCGTGGTATCCGAGAGCGCACCCGCAATGGCGAGCATGCAAGCGTCCAGGACTCCTCCATCGTACCTCAAGCAGACCAGATCGATGTACAAGCACCAAGATGCTTCCCCTTCTTGGATCGATAACGTCGTCAGATCGACAGGATTC